CGGCCACTGCACTTCAGTCTGGGCAACCGAGTGAGACTCCAACTCAAAAAAAAAAAGAAAGGTAGAGTTATTTTTATTTTATTTGATTTGTTTTGAGTCAGACTCTCACTCTGTTGCCCAGGCTGGAGTACAGTGGCACGCTAATGGCCACTGCAGCCTCGACTTGCTGGGCTCCGGCGATCCTTCTGCCTCAGCCTTCTAAGTAACTGGAACTACAGGTGTATGCCTGGCTATGTGCCCATTGTTGACTGAAATGTCATTATGTGGTACATGACCGTTTGTTTTGTCACATTAACTTGGTTGGATAGGTTCTAAAAATACATTTATCATCCATTTTAATTTCATCTGTATCTGATCCATCATGGTGCTGAAAAATAGTTTATTTTGATTCTTACTTGTATCTTTCAAATTGGCATGAATACCACCACAGTCTAACTATGTACGTCCCTCAGTCTGGGAATGAGAGTCCCAGGGAGAGAAGCCATTTTGTTTCTGAAGGAAAATGAGTATAGCTCACTGTTATTTACTGGAAATAGTAGGGGGAAAGAGAGATTGAAGCCCAGGTCCAGTGTCATCTACTGCTCTGCACTTTATTCACTTCTCTGAGCAGCTTCTGCATAATTCTTTCCTTTAAGACTTGATAAAGGAGAAACAACAAAATTACATTGAAATGCCTTTGAGGTTATAGCATTAGCATAATTCTTTGGAATTCTAGCACATGGATTTTTAATTAGGGCTACTGTCTTAGTATCTTTTGAAACTTTTCTGTTAGCAACAACTGCAGTTTCAATTAGGAAGCACCTTGAAATCTTGTTTATCTTTGTCCATGAATACATCAGTGGTAAATGTTATCTGGGTCTGTCTCCCTTGATTTAAACTGGAGGATAGAGTCCGCGTCTTATCTCTTCTTTGTAATTCTCTTATAATGAAGGCTTGTATTCATTTCTAGGACTATACCCTTAAATATATGTTTAAAGGTATTCTAAAATATGGGCATGTTCACAGTAGTAAATAATGGAAAAGCTTGTTCATGAATAGGGGTGTTATTAAATACATTTTGGTATATTCATGTAATAATGCAACATAGCTATTAAAAATAAAACGTAGATGAATGTTTGACTTGGAAAGATATACAGTATATTAATTGAAAAACTATAAAGCAGTAGTATACTTTCATCTAATTTTCATAAAATAAATTCATATTTGTATATGTACCTGAAAATTGGTGGAGGAACATACCCCAAAGTGTTTAAACTCTTTTGGAATTCTGGCTGATTTTTACTTTCCCTAATATAGTTCTGGGATTTTTTTTCAGTGTGCATCTGTAACTTTCAGAGTTAGAGAAACATTGAAACTATTTCCATTTTGAAATTGTTGACCTGAACAGAAGTGGAGTAAATGGGGGTGATGATGGAACTGGAAACTGGAGCAGTTTAGTTTGGAAAAGAGCTGAATGGGATGAGGGAAGGGAATGGTGGAAATAAGATCACTGTCTTTAGAGAAAGGAACTAACTACTAACTACCGCTTTATTGCTGGCTCCTTAGTGCAGGCATTTCGGGATCAGGGTTTACGTTTACCGTTTGTTTCCCAGTTAGACCCTATACACATTCCTTTCCCACCCTTGTCCCTCTGGGCTTTAGTAAGTACAGTAATTGCTGGTGGCAGCAGCTGCTTGTGGGTATACAGATCTTTGTCTTAGTAAATGGTAGCTTTAGTTGCTCCAGTAAAGAGATGGCTCAAATCTATCAAAGCCTTCCTCTCCCCTCAGCTAGGCAGCACCAGTCATCTCTACCTATGGTGGGAGAGCTTTCTTAGTAGAGAATAGATGAGTAGATTAGAGAACAGATACTTTCTTGCTGGTGGTGGGTGAAACGGTTAAAAATGTGCCTCAGGAAACTGCTCCTTGGGTCTTTCTGAGGTAGGAATTGAGGACTGCCTTCATCTCATGGAGTACCAGGAAACTTAGCAGTATTAACTGGTGCTGCCAGCATCTAATGATAACGATTAATAGCTTTGGCATTAGGCCATTGCTGAATTGCCAGATTTCTGGATTGCTTTTTATGCTAAACAGCTAAGGACTGGGAAATTTATAGGCAATAGGCTGCTTCCTTAGAAAGAAAAAAAGGACCCTTGGGGTTCTTCAGCTTATCCTGTGTTGTTTCTTGTCTCAGGGCCTTGTTTCTCCAGGGATTGAGTCTTAGACATAGGGGCCTAGTTGCTGGCTTACCTAGCTCCTTGTGATCCTTTTGATAACCCAGGCAGCTCGGTAAGGAAATAGATAATGTATTATTCCTTTTCACTTAAGGTAGTGCGAATCCTGGTGGGAGTTGAGATTGTAAATGATAAGGCTTAGTCCAGAGCCCAGAGTTTTGTAACCTTTCCCCATTAGTGTGAACCAGATGCCATCTGATGACTAGATGAAGGTTTCATTCACCACTTGAGGGCTGTTTTGATCAGGACTAAATGTAGTTCATTAACTGCCAGACACAGAAGGGGACACTAAGGGGTCAAGTTAATCTCCTTTTCTTTTTTTTTTCTTTTTTTTTTTTTTTTTTGAGTTGGAGTCTCACTGTCACCCAGACTGGAGTGCAGTGGCCACTCCCGGCCACCGCAGCCTTGACCTGTTGGGCGCCGGCAATCCTTCTGCCTCAGCCTTCCAAGCAGCTGGAATTACAGGTGCGCGCTACCACGCCCAGCTCATTTTTTGATTTATTGTAGAGATGAGGTTTCACCAAGTTGCCCAGGCAGGTCTCGAACCTGCGGGCTCAGGCAGTCCACTCACCTCAGCCTCCCAAGGCACGGGATTACAGACTGAGCCACCAAGCCCGGCTTAATCTCCTTTACTTTTTCTTTCTTTCTTTTTTTTTTTTTTTGAGTTGGAGTCTCACTCTGTCGCCCAGACTGAAGTGCAGTGGCCGTTCCTGGCCACCGCAGCCTCGACCTGCTGGGCTCCGGCGATCCTTCCGCCTCAGCCTTCCGAGTAGCTGGAACTACAGGCGCGCACTACCACGCCCGGCTAATTTTTTGATTTATTGTAGAGATGAGGTCTCACCTACCCAGGCGGGTCTTGAACCCATGGGCTCAGGCAATCCACTCACCTCAGCCTCCCAAAGGTGCGGATTACAGGCTGAGCCACTGAACCTGGCTAAACTCCTTTTCAAAGCTAGAGATGTTGAGGTCCAAAGAGGGAAAGGACTTGAAGGAAACTAGGAAAATCAGCATAAACGTTCATATCTGAGCACTGACACTTTGCTATAGTCATTTGGTTCTTCTGCACTCAAGTTATTTTAATGGGGACAGAAATCCTTATTAAACAATGACTGTAGACCTTGCAGCATCTTTTGCCAGATATAGAACATAATTGTGATGCTAATGCGAATGCTTAGCAAGAGTGAAATCTCAGGTCCATGGTGTGGTTGGCTGAATGACTTGACTAAGGTTGTAAAGATAAAATGAAAGCTAGATCTCAAACCTTGACTATTTTGTTTTACATTTGTTTTTTCCTTCTCCCTATCCTATAGATGACGTCAAATGCAGTCAGAAACCATTACACTGGTGAAGAGGTATATTTAGCCCTGCCTGGTTAACCTCCAGCGAGGTTATCAGAGAATTGGGAAAGGCTCAAATCAGCATCCTGGATATGGTTATTAAACCATTACAAAGCCTTGGTAAGTGGTCAGTGGCTTTGGTGGGCTTGCCCAGTAAGTACAAAGAAGCGGGGAAGAGCGCAGATCTTTTTTTTTTTTTTTTTTCAGTTGGAGTCTCACTCGGTAGCCCAGACTGGAGTGCAGTGGCCGCTCCCGGCCACCGCAGCCTCAACCTGCTGGGCTCTGGTGATACTTCCGCCTCAGCCTTCTGAGTAGCCAGAATTACAGGCATGCGCTACCACGCCCGGCTGATTTTTTGATTTATTGTAGAGATGAGGTCTCGCTGCCCAGGCGGGTCTTGAACCCGCGGGCTCAGGCAATCCACTCACCTCAGCCTCCCAAAGGCGCGGGATTACAGATTGAGCCACTGAGCCCGGCAGAAGGCAGATCTTAATAGACAATTGGGCAATTAATTACTGGTTAGTTTTTCATTGTGCTATGAAGAAAGAGTCTTAAAATATTCAAGTTGTACTAGAGAAAAAGAGTCAGGCCTCTTCTTTTCTCATTCTCCTTCTCATTTTTACCGATAGCGGAATTGGAAATTACCCAAGATTATAGCTAGTTGATGAAAATGGATTTGAATCCAAGCCAGTACTCTGTCTTCTACCCAGTGCTTCATCTAGGTTCCATCAAATCTAAGGAAGCCATGTGAGAGAGAAATGTTTTCATTTTACCATAAAACATTTTTTTTTTTTTTTAGTTGGCGTCTCACTGTCACCCAGACTGGAGTGCAGTGGCCGCTCCCGGTCACCGCAGCCTTGACCTGCTGGGCTCCGGCGATCCTTCCGCCTCAGCCTTCCAAGTAGCTGGAACTACAGGCGCACGCTACCACGCCCGGCTGATTTTTGATTTATTGTAGAGATGAGGTCTTGCCAAGTTGCCCAGGCAGGTCTCGAACCCGCAGGCTCAGGCAATCCACTCACCTTGGCCTCCCAAAGTCCTGGGATTACAGGCTGAGCCACCGAGCCCGGCCCATAAAACATTTTTATAATAGCTTCTGAGATTGTACTTCTCTGATGATGGAAATTTCCATGGCATAAAGTTTTATTATGCATCAAGTTACCTGCGGTGCTTGTTACACATGCAGATTCCTGGGCAGTCAGAAACCTGTCATTGATCAAGAGCAACATTAAGATCTGCCTATTTATACTGATGCTTCTTGCCCAGCAAGCTCATCCAGAGAGCCAACGTGAATCACTGTTGTCGTGGATGGCCTTGTGAGGCAGGTGAGAAGGCTTGGTAAGTTGTCAGTGGTTTTGGTAGGGTTCCCCAATTGGTGGTAGAAAAGAGAAGGGAAATTGGTAATGATGTGGCACTTCCAGCATTCCTTCAATATTATTAAGTGCTAAGTGCCAGAGATAGTTGTAGACATTAACGAAGTCATGCCATGGAGCTTTCATTCTTGTGAAGGTGGACAAAGGAATAAATAACCAGTAGTCTAAGTGTTATATCATAGACTTTTTTTTTCTCATTATGCTGTGAAAAACTGCATGTAAACCAAGCAACATCTTGTGTTTTCTCCTGTCTTCCCATTCTCAGTTTTTATTTTTTGGTCTTTTTTTTGAGTTGGAATCTCACTCTGTCGCCCAGGCTGGCACTCTCACGGCCACTGTAGCCGCAACCTGCTGGGCTCAGGCCATCCTTCCCCCTCAGTCTTCCAAGTAGCTGGAACTACAGGCGTGTGCCACCACGCCTGGCCAAATTTTTGATTTATTGTAGAGACAAGGTCTCACCAAGTTGTCCAGGCTGGTGTAGAACCCCTGGACTCGGGCAGTCCTCTTGCCTCGGCCTCCCAAAGTGCTGGGATTACAGGCTTGAGCCTCTGCGCCCGGCCCCCATTCTCAATATCTGCCACTGTCTCTCATTGCAGTGGAGGCTCACCAAGCTGTGTGTGGGAAAGGTCATAGAGATGCAATCTTTTTTCTTTTTGTAACCTCTAACTAGGCTGAATTGTGAAGGACACCTTTGAAAAGTGTTTTAGAGTCTACTGGATCTTTCATGTGAGTGACCACACAAAAGAAGAAAGGGAGTCCTCTGAGTGATTAAGGTAACATAGTGATTAAGGTAAGTAGGGGAGGATGCTGTTTGCCCTGATTCCTGTCAAAAAGGCTCTTAGAAATGTCATTTCCAACCTGGGCACAGAGGCTTATGCCTGTAATCCCAGCAGTTTGAGAGGCCAAGGCAAGAGGATCTCTTGAGGCCAGGAATTTCAGACCAACCTAGGTAACAATTAGAGACCCTATCTCTACAAAAAAAAAAAAAAAAAGAAAGAAAAGAAAAACTTAGCTGGGCACAGTGGCATGCGTCTATAGTCCCAGCTACTCAGGAGGCTGAGGCGGGAGGATTGCTTGAACCCAGTAGGTCGAGGCTGTAGTGAGCTATGATTGCACCACTACACTCCAGCCTGGGTGACAGAGTGAGACTCTGTCTCTTAAAAAAACAAAAGAAAGTCGGGCTTGGTGGCTCAGCCTGTAATCCCGTGCCTTTGGGAGGCTGAGGTGAGTGGATTGCCTGAGCCCGCCGATTCAAGACCCGCCTGGGCAACTTGACGAGACCTCATCTCTACAATAAATCAAAAAATTAACTGGGTGTGGTAGTGCGCGCCTGTAATTCCAGCTACTTGGAAGGCTGAGGCGGAAGGATTGCTGAAGCCCCAGCAGGTCGAGGCTGCAGTGGCTGGGAGTGGCCATTGCACTCCAGTCTGGGCGACAGAGTGAGACACCAACTCAAAAACAACAACAACTGCAACAACAACAAAAAACAAAACCAGAAATGCCATTTCCGGAGTACAAGTGACAAACCAGTAGTTTCAAAGCCTGCGACCTAAGATTATATGCTTACCCAATCTTTGGTCACCCGTACTAAGGATCAGAAGAACTGAAATGGTTCCCAGATCAGCTAGGTGACATAAGCTCCTGCTTTTGTAAATGTTTTGTTGGAACATGGTCATGCTCATTCATTATTGTCTATGGCTACTTTCATGCTACAGTAGAGTTGAGTAGTTGCAACAGAGACCACGTGGACCACAAAGCCTGAAGTATTACCATTTGACTCTTCACAGAAAGTTTGCCAACTCCTGGCATAGAGTAAATATATTATGTCCACAATTCCTTCTCCCATTTTTCTTCTATGGGACTTGTGTTTACAGGTGATCCTAGAATGTATGGAATCTCGTAGTAATCAGTTTGCTTCTGAATTTCTTCTCAGTTAAATTAAGCTCATCAAGAAAGCACATTCACAAATTAGGCTGTGTGTACAAAAGTGACTATGTTTTATGAATGAGTACAGTACCTCGTTGTAGTTAACTCATTTTATTTAGTTCCCCCATTTTTTCTTTTCTTTCTTTTTTTTAAGGATAAGTGTAACTGTTTTAAAATTTAGCCATTCATGAGTTTCCAGAATGTTACTACTTGTATTTTCTAATTCTGACTTTATCCTTGTGTGTGTGTGTGTGTGTGTGTGTGTGATGTGTGTTTGTGTTTGTGTGTTGGATTCTCACTCCGTCGCCCAGGCTAGAGTGCAGTGGCACGCTCACAGCCACCCCAGTGTCGACCTGCTGGGCTCAGGTGATCCTTCCGCTTCAGCCTTCCAAGTAGCTGGAACCACAGGTGTGCGCTACCACACCCGGCTAATTTTTTATTTATTGTAGAGATGAGGTCTTGCCAAGTTGCCTGGGCTGGTCTCGCACCCACGGGCTCAGGCAGTCCACTCGCCTCGGTCTCCCAAAGTGCTGGGATTACAGGGGGAGCCACTTAACGTGGCTTATATTTATTTTAATATGCCTCCTGTCTCTGGCTTTTCTTTTTCTTTTTCTTTTTTGAGTTGGAGTCTCACTGTCACCCAGACTGGAGTGCAGTGGCCGCTCCCGGCCACCACAGCCTTGACCTGCTGGGCTCCGGCAATCCTTCCGCCTCAGGCTTCCAAGTAGCTGGAACTACAGGTGCTACCACGCCTGGCTAATTTTTGATTTATTGTAGAGATGCGGTCTCACCAAGTTGCCTAGGCGGGTGTTGAACCTGCGGGCTCAGGCAATCCATTCACCTCAGCCTCCCAAAGCGCTGGGATTACAGGCTTAGCCACCAAGCCCGGCTTGTCTCTGGCTTTTCTACATGTTTCTTTTTATTTTTTAAAAAATAATTTTAAAGATGTGGGGTACAGTTCAGGGTTTCATATACAAATGATCATTATACAGGTACCCTTGTTAATGAGGTTAGCCTCCCCCTTCCCCAGGCAGATTCCCACTACTGCCAATCCCGCTCCCCCCTCCTTCTTGGCAGTTTCCTGCTACTGCCAATCATTCTCTTATAGTATTACAATACTTGTTTAAGGTCTGCTTATGAGTGAACTTTTCTGCATATTTATGCAGCTGTCTTAACCTTTTTGTGAAAAAAGCCCCCTTAGAAGGTTAATTTTTTTGTAGTTCTCTATTGAGGAAATATGTGGCATTTAACTTTTTGTTAGCCTGATGCCATCTATTGAGCACCTATTCTGTGCTTTATGTACACTGTTTCTTTTTTTTAAGTCTGGGGTTCGCTCTGTCACTCAGGCTGGAGTACAGTGGCATAATCACAGTTCACCACAGCCTTTAAACTCCTGGGCTCAGGTGATCCTTTTGCCTCAGCCTCCTGAGTAGCTGGGACTACAGGCTTGCCACCATGCCTGGCTAATTTTTTTTTTAATTTTTGATTTTTTTTTTTGTAAGGTTGAGGTTTTGTTATGTTGTTTAGGCTGGTCTCAGATCCAAGAAGCAGATACTGAATGGGTACCCCTTCTTTTTGTTCCTCTAACTCACTCTACCTTGGCATTGACAGCTAAGTTAACATGTATTACAGTGGTCTGTCCTTTGGTCTATCTTTTGTGCTCTGAAATATCTTTGTTTCCTTATTTGCTCTTAATACCTCCTTCCTCTTTCCTTTTTATACAGGGCAACCATATTTGTTTTATCCTGCAAAATAATTACTCTTTCCCCCCATGTTCAAAGTAGCTGCCTGATTCATACAATGAATACAGGTCACATGGACTCAAAAAGTAGAGATGGGGATGGGCCTGGGAAAGGCACTCCATGGCGTCACTGTCATTGCGTCATGGCGTCACTGTCATTTTTGAAAGTCTTTTAGAGTTTGGGAGTACATGTGGTTTTGGGAGGGTCAGGACCTCTAACTAGTATGTCTTTTTTTTTTTTTTCCTTGAGTTAGAGTCTCACTCTGTCACCCAGACTGGAGTGCAGTGGCTGGTCCCGGCCACCACAGCCTCGGCCTGTTGGGCTCTGGCAATCCTTCCGCCTCAGCCTTCCAAGTAGCCGGAATTACAGGCATGTGCTACCACACCCAGCTGATTTTTTGATTTATTGTAGAGATGAGATCTCGCTGTCCAGGTGGGTCTCGAACCCGCGGGCTCAGGCAATCCGCTCACCTCAGCTTCCCAAAGACGTGGGATTACAGGCTGAGCCACTGAGCCCGGCTCTAACTAGTATGTCTTTAAAAAAATTTATTTAATGACAGGGCCAGATAGATTATTACCATGCAAAAAGTTTTGTGTGCACTGTAATAATTTATACTCATGACACATCACCATTTATTTTTATAATAATGCATGACCTTACTGAAGAAAAAAAAGTGATAAGGTGGGAAACTATAGAGGTACTTGGAGGTTGTAAATCTATCCTATAAGTTAATGGTTACATAATTCTTTGCATCAGTTACTCATATTGGTGACACTTCGTCAATGATAGATTATTTATTTATTTATTAGTTGAAGTCTCATTCTGTCATCCAAGTGCAGTGGCACGATCACAGCTCACCACAGTCTTGACCTCCTGGGCTAAGGCTGTCCTTCTGCCTCAGCCTCCCAAGTAGCTGAGACTACAGGTGCACACCATTATGCCTGGCTAATTTTTGACTTTGGTAGAGATGAGGTCTTGCTATGTTGCCTAGGCTAATCTTGAACTCCTGGGCTCGAGCAATCCCCTTGCTTCCCCAAAGTGCTGAGATTACAGGCATGAACCACCATTCCCAGCCTTGATAATTTAAATGTTATGCTATTTTATACACCTATTGGTTCCTTTTTTTTTTTTTTGAGCTGGAGTCTCACTCTGTCACCCAGACTGGAGTGCAGTGGCCACTTGCGGCCACTGCAGCCTCGACCTGCTGGGTTCCGGCGATCCTTCTGCCTCAGCCTTCCAAGTAGCCGGAATTACAGGCACGCGCTACCATGCCCGGCTGATTTTTTGATTTATTGTAGAGATGAGGTCTTGCTGCCTAGGCGGGTCTCGAACCGGTGGGCTCAGGCAATCCACTCACCTCAGCCTCCCAAAGTAGCAGGATTACAGGCTGAGCCACCGAGCCCGGCTACACCTATTAGTTCTAATCACATCTGCATTCCTTTTAGGACCTAATTTTTTGTTTTTGTTTTTTTGAGTTGGAGCCTCACTCTGTCGCCCAGACTGGAGTGCAGTGGCTGCTCCCGGCCACCGCAGCCTCGACCTGCCAGGCTCTAGTGATCCTTCTGCCTCAGCCTTCCAAGTAGTTGGAAGTACAGGTGTGCGCTACCACGCCCGGCTGATTTTTTGATTTATTGTAGAGATGAGGTCTCGCCAAGTTGCCTGAGTCCGACTGAGGTTATCATTTTCTAAGCAACCCCTTGTGAAGTCACACGTACTTTTTGTTGTTACTGCTTATAGGTTTTAATCATTGACTATTCTCTCCTTTATGCCAGATCATAATGTAGTAGTCTGACTTGACAACTCAGCTTAGTTTATTAGGAGTAGTTTATCGAATTAATTTAGTAAACTATTAAGAAAGTATGTTTCAGCCGGGCTCGGTGGCTCAGCCTGTCATCCTGCGCTTTGGGAGGCTGAGGTGAGTGGATTGCCTGAGCCCACAGGTTCGAGACCTG